TGTGAAAGATAAAGAAAAATCTATTATTGGTGTGAGTGATGATGATTTGTTCTTGTGGGAATCATATTTTATCTGAATATTCTTATAATTTGATTTGGTTAATTAAGTTCATCACTTACTTACTAATTAGTCTTTGACTGTGCTTATAATACTTAACTTAGTTGATAACGAATCTAATCTATATCTTTGTTTTGGTCTTGATCATCATTTTAACTAGTTTACTCTTTTATTCTATATGCATAATTTATGATATGTTTAGGCTGGTTTCAGTATGTTGTGTTGTGTTTTGTTGTACTTTAAATTAGCTGCTTCTTACTTAATAGGGAGTTGACTTTTTAGCTACTAGATCTGCACCTACTTACTGAGTGTACTGTAGAGTCTCTTAAAGGTTTCTTGTTGAAGGATACCTCAATTGTACTAAGTTTTGTGTCTTCTAATTTCAATGCTTTTGTCCACAGATGTTGGCCAAATACTCTCAGAAGCACGACATCGATGGCTTCGTCCACCTGAAATATGTGAAATTTTACAGAATTACCAAAGGTTTCAAATTTCTACCGAGCCACCTACTACACCATCAAGTAAGTTTCATTTATAAACATTCAGTGTAGTGGGAAACTCAGGAGTTTGAAGACTGATGTTCATGCTAAATATCTGTCTCATTTTCAGGTGGGTCTGTTTTTATGTTTGATCGAAAGGTGCTCAGATACTTCAGGAAAGACGGGCACAATTGGAGGAAGAAAAAAGATGGAAAGACAGTGAAAGAAGCTCATGAGAGGTTGAAGGTAGTAAATGAGACATGTTTCTTTTACGTCGTTGTTCTTTGAGATGTATGGTCAAAATGACCCAAAATGATTGATATATTAATATCATCAAGATTTTGGTAGGTGCTTATTAGTGATTTCTCTAGCTCATGACTATCCATGCAGGCGGGAAGTGTTGATGTTCTACATTGTTACTATGCGCATGGACAGGACAATGAAAACTTTCAAAGACGCAGTTATTGGTTGCTTCAAGAGTAAGCTTATTATTATAGCATTACAACTTTTGCATCATTTGCTTGTGATCTTAAACTATTTTCATAGATTCCCGCTCTCTCTTTCTCTCATCTTATATGTTATGCAACTTGAAGTATATTACCTGGAGGTTAATATGTCTTCGAAGTTAACGAGAATACAACACCTTTTCTAAGTTTCTTGTTGTTTTTTTGTTGGTGAATAATACAGAGAGCTTTCCCACATAGTTTTTGTTCACTATCTCGAAGTTAAGGTTTGACCCCATCCTGTTATTTGCTAATAACTCTACCTCATTTATTTTCTTTTCACGGAATTAGAGTATAGTTGAGCATGAGTGTGATATTTGTACGTGAATCAGGGTAGTAGAGTTTCTACTTCTGTTAACCGGATGCAAAGGAGTGGAGATGCTGCTCGGTCTCCTCAAGAAGCTGGGGAAGCCTTGACCAGTGAACACGATGGTTATGCTTCTTGCAGCTTCAATCAAAATGATCATAGCAATTTTTCACAAACTACTGACTCAGCAAGTGTCAATGGTTTTCACACTCCAGAACTTGAAGATGCTGAATCAGGTGCTTCTTCTTTCACACATGATGTCATATCTGCATTTTAAGGACTAGTTTCCGTTTTAGTCTCTTATCTTATGCATATTGCGTACGTGTATTTTGTAGCATACAATCAGCATGGAAGCTCCATAGTTTACTCTCATCAAAAACTTCAGCAGCCTGCAACTGGAGGAAACCTTACTGGTTATAATCCTTACTATCAAGTATCTTTGACGCGTAAGCTCCTGGTGACCTGGTTAATGCTCTTTTTCTATCATTAGAAGCATAAGTTCTAGTAACTACCATCTGATAATTAGGAATGACTTATTTAATTTTATTTAATAGCAGCCAGGGATAGTTATCAGAAAGAGTTTCGCACAATCCCCATAACAGATTCTTTGGTTATGGTAGACAAGAGCAAGAATATAAACAGTCCTGGAGTAACAAATGGGCTAAAAAACAGAAAATCCATTGATTCCCAAACGTGGGAAGAGATTCTGGGAAATTGTGGTTCTGGAGCTGAAGGCATACCTTTGCAGCCTAATAGTGAGCATGAAGTGCTGGACCAAATACTCCAAAGCTCTTCTTTTACTATGCAAGATTTTGCCTCTTTACAAGAGTCCATGATCAAAAGCCGGGTATACACATTTCTGATTGTATCTGGGTCAATTTCTACATTCCTCTTGCTCAGTTTGTATTGCTGTATGTTTGCTATGCTCCTTTGATAGGCTATGTAATCATTTGAGTGTCTGAATTTTACTTTCTTTTCTAAACGTCTACAGAATCAGCAGTTTAATTCAGGAGTTACATCTGCGAATGCTATGTGGTTCCAAGGACAAGGTTTACACTGCAATTAGCTTGTTGTTTTAATACATGGTTTGAATTTACTTTGTCTTTAAAAGCTAACCTTCAACATTTTTGTATCAACTGCAGATATAGAGCCAAATGCTATAAGCAATCTAGCTTCGAATGAAAAAGCTCCATATCTATCCACGATGAAACAGCATCTGTTAGACGGTGCGTTGGGCGAAGCAGGTCTGAAAAAGATGGACAGTTTCAATCGCTGGATGAGCAAAGAACTAGGTGATGTTGGTGTTATAGCTGATGCAAACGAGTCCTTTACGCAATCAAGTTCAAGAACTTACTGGGAAGAAGTTGAGAGTGAGGATGGGTCCAATGGTCACAACTCTAGGAGGGACTTGGATGGATATATTATGAGTCCTTCCCTCTCAAAGGAACAACTCTTTAGCATCAATGAATTCTCTCCAAGCTGGGCGTATGTGGGTTGTGAAGTGGTGGTAAGCACTATTGATCAATTTAACTTTTCGGGGAGTCATAAGATAGGTTTTTGCTTATTTTCTTTTGCAAAAATTTTAGGTTTTTGTCACTGGAAAATTCTTAAAGACTCGGGAGGAGGCTGAAATTGGCGAGTGGTCTTGCATGTTTGGACAAACAGAAGTTCCAGCAGATGTTATAGCTAATGGTGTTCTCCAATGTGTTGCTCCTATGCATGAGGCTGGAAGAGTTCCGTTTTATGTAACATGTTCCAACAGATTGGCATGCAGTGAAGTGCGTGAATTTGAGTACAAGGTTGTGGAGTCTCAAATATATGATAAAGAAACAGATGATGAGTCCACTATTGAAATTCTGGAGGCAAGATTTGTTAAACTATTGTGCTCAAAATCTGAAAGCTCAACCCCTGTTTCCGGGAATGACAGTGATTTGTCCCAAGTGAGCGAGAAGATTAGTTTACTACTTTTCGAGAATGATGACCAGTTGGATCAGATGCTCATGAATGAAATCTCCCAAGAAAATATGAAAAAAAGTCTTTTGCAGGACGTTCTGAAAGAAAGTTTACACTCATGGCTTTTACAAAAGATAGCAGAAGGTGGAAAAGGTCCCAGTGTTTTGGATGAAGGTGGCCAAGGTGTATTACACTTTGCAGCTTCTCTTGGTTACAACTGGGCCTTAGAACCAACAATACTTGCCGGTGTAAGCGTTGATTTTCGTGATGTAAATGGTTGGACTGCACTTCATTGGGCAGCTTTCTTTGGCAGGTGAGTTACTTCTAAAAATTTCACTATTTCATCTTCTCTTTCTATGATATTGTATTTGAAACAAGGGTAATTTCATATTCAGGGAGCGGATAATTGGTTCACTCATAGCTCTTGGTGCTGCTCCTGGAACTTTAACTGACCCAAATCCAGATTTCCCATCAGGAAGCACACCTTCTGATCTAGCCTATGCTAACGGTCACAAAGGAATTGCTGGTTATCTCTCAGAATATGCCTTAAGGGCCCATGTTTCTTTGCTCAGTCTGAATGATAAAAATGCGGAAACTGTTGAGAGTGCTCCTAGCCCATCCAGCTCATCATTAACAGACTCGTTGACAGCTGTACGTAACGCTACTCAGGCAGCAGCTCGGATTCATCAGGTTTTCAGGGCTCAGTCTTTCCAGAAGAAGCAATTAAAAGAATTTGGAGATAGAAAGCTTGGAATGTCGGAGGAGCGTGCTCTTTCAATGCTAGCTCCTAAAACACACAAATCAGGACGGGCCCATAGTGATGATTCTGTGCAAGCTGCTGCTATCCGGATTCAGAACAAGTTCCGTGGTTACAAGGGAAGAAAAGACTATTTGATTACAAGACAAAGAATCATCAAAATACAGGTTTGTAATGTTTTGATAAAACCAAGTCAAGTTCTTGATTCGTTTAATGTATATCTGAAATTCTTAACTGTTTTAACTGGCAATGGTGCAGGCTCATGTGAGAGGTTATCAGGTTAGGAAAAACTACAGAAAGATAATTTGGTCAGTGGGGATTTTAGAGAAGGTGATATTGCGTTGGAGAAGGAAAGGAGCTGGTTTGCGCGGGTTTAAGTCAGATGCACTTGTTGATAAGATGCAAGATGGAACAGAGAAAGAAGAAGATGACGATTTTTTCAAACAAGGAAGAAAGCAAACAGAGGAAAGGCTACAAAAGGCTCTTGCAAGAGTGAAATCAATGGTTCAATATCCTGAAGCTAGAGATCAATACCGTAGATTGCTAAATGTGGTCAACGATATCCAAGAAAGCAAGGTAACTTATAATTAGAAGAAGAAAAAGAAAACTTTACTCATATTCTTAGAAATCAAACAAACCTGAAAAATCTTGATTCTAAATCTATGGTTTTAGGTGGAGAAAGCTCTTGAAAATTCAGAAGGAGCAACATGTTTTGATGATGATCTGATAGATATCGAAGCATTGTTGGGAGACGATGACACATTGATGTTGCCTATGTCCTCATCTTTGTGGAGCAATTAAACCACTCTCAAGCTTTATGTCACAGTATTATTGACTCATTAAACTTGTATATTCTTATGTAATCCCCTTCTCATATTCTGTAACTGCATTCATTACTCTAATTTAAATGATAATATTTGAACATTAACTAAAACAGACTTATATAATAACTTAGATTGTAAACCTTCCTTGTCATTAAACTGTACATGGCTTGGTTTCCATTAGTATACAAACTTTGTGTCTTTCTGAGTTAAGAGAAAATTGAATTTGTAAGAGAGATAGAGAGAGATTATGTTCTTGTCAAATGACTAAAAAAGCTCTTTTCCTCTATCTTGTTCCGAGGCTCTCATATAACAAGATGTAGCCATGATCAGTATTGCTCGAGTACTCTTGTGATGAGCCAAAGAATGTCTGAACAGCAGATTCTTCAATCATTTCGACAGTTTCATCATCAAAGAAGAGCCAATGGTTATGAGATTTCACGAGGCTAACATAGTGACCATGGTTGGGTCCACTTCCGACATGAACCACAACTGCGAAGAGAGAGTACTCGATGTCCACATACTCTTCCACTGTGTTGCTGAGTTTCAGTTCCAGCGGGAAGACGACTCTGTAAGATAACTTCTTGTAGCGGCCCAATTGTTCGATGTATTTAAACCTTTTCAGATGTATAACTAAGATGTGTGGCGGTTTCTTGATCTTCATCCTCTTCTGCGCTTCTTGTAAGCTGCACAAGTAATCATAAAACTGTTTCAGTCATGAAATCAATTAAAAAACTTTTGGGAGTCTTGCACAGTGAAGAATGAACAACAAGGACTTGAGTTGTGTAACATTATTGAAACAGACTATATTCGAATACCTAACCAAAAAACTTAAGGGAGCAGTGAAGAACTAGTCATAACATTTTGGGTTGTGCTTTATAATATGATGCAGGTTATATAGTAAATGCAAGCCCAATGATCAAGGAACATGAGGCTGTAAGGAAGAGGATTTTTTACCTGCAGCACTTGTCACAGAAGAATTTGTCTTCAGCGTGTAGAGTCTCTGTGGAGCTGAAGTTTTTCAAACAGCTAGTTATCGAACTGTTCTGTTCAATATCAAGGCTCAGGTCTAGGAAAGTTTCATCTCTTGCTGTTACAGTCTCACACCGCAGACACCTTGTCTCGTTGGTAAGTATACCCTGTAACAGGTTTGCACATGCTTAATCACTTGAGATAACTGGAAAAGACTTTACAATATATGATGTTCACTTTAGTGATTGGGCTCGCTTTGGGGACTAGAGAGAATGCAGGAAATTACGTATTGCCCTGGAATGTTACTGATGCTTACTGCATCTATGCTGAAGGAAGCTATGTAGGTCTATGACTAAATACTTTTTTGCTTATGAAAATCCGGCATCTAAACAAAGTCGAAAATGAACTGATCCTACCGTAGAAGAAAGATATGCAATTTATTAAGAAGCACCTTACCTGAAAAATCTTGTGCACCCATGTAACAATAGGTTCTTTATGAACACCGTTTTCCTGAGGAGCTTTCGATCCATTTGAGATCTTTTCAGGAGATGATAAAGTTTCATGGTCTGTTTTTGTAACTTTTGCCTCTTTCTCTAAGATGTCAACAAGTTCATTTAGCAAATAATTCAAGAACTCATGTGCATCCTACATGAAAAGAGTAAACAAAATCTAATCAAACGCTGTGTTTATAGATTTAGATTGCTTCTCCCACAATTTAATTATCGTCACATAAAAGAAATATTGAGAAGATAGGCAGTTATGCAGAGTACCTGATGCATATAACTCCGGAAAAGCTCATTTTGTTTTTTCAGTCTCTGTACAAAACGCTTCGGAGCAATAACTCCTGTTTTCTTCTTTTGGGAAGTTATCTATGGGAAAAGGTTAATTAAGATAGCAGACTTAAAAGCAGTGATCACCACCACAATCATGAAAACAGTGAACACCACCACAATTATCTAAGTAAATGATGACAAGAAATATTAAAGGCTACACGAAGCAAACACATCAATACATCTGCAATGTGAACCTTTAAAAAAAAAAAAACCAGAAAGTGTACCAATAACCAAGCAGTATAGACTACTCAAACGAAAACTGTTAAGTGTTTCCACCAATCAAAACGTGTTTTGCAGTATTAGAAGAACATATCCATCAAAACATAAGTCAACTCAAGCAGTGATTGCTACACCAAAATGTTGACGAGCTGTAATAAACGAATCAATATTCAATTTACCTGCGAAAACAAGTCCTCCAAGCAGGTCAAGAGATTCTCCTCAGAATCAGCTCTACTATTTGCAGAGTGTTCAAGCAATTGTTCACGAAAGGGAGCACAAAAATAAAGCGCCTGCACAAATGAAAGGGTTCATATAACAAACGCTTAGTTCATGAACACAGACTCTGGCTCAGCCTTCTTCTAGTCTTGAAATTTGTGAACAAACATAGAATACAAACAGACCTAAAGAACTGATCCACATATCAACCAAACGTTTCTCAAACATATTCTCGAATTCGATGTGATTCGTAAGGTAATGATCATTCATTCTTCAGATACGCATCAGAAATTTCAAAATCCTAGATGAAATCTACCAAAAGCAAAAACGATTCGTACAGATGAAACTCAAAATGAGGAATCGATAGAGAGAGAGAGAGAAAGAGACCTGTAAGACACTGTTACAGTAACAAGTGTTGCCGAAATTTTCGAATCCGAAGTAGCGTTCTCCTTCAGGGAACTGGTCGCCGAGAGCTTTCTCGAGTTTGGACCCCGCGGCGCCCATCAGACCTAGCCTCCGACCTTCCGAAACACCGTGGTTTCGTTTTTCCTGAACTCGTTCTGATTTGACTCGGAGATCTCTACAAAGGAACAGAGTCGAATCAGTGACGGATGATGATGGTGATGATTCAGTGTGGAGATTTTTCAGATTTCGAAGATGTTAAAGAAGAGGGATCGAAATTGAAATTTTCTGTTTTACGCGACTATTATAATGTCAATTAAAAAAAATTAAAATCATTTATAAATTTGTTTGGAAACATTTATAAATTTCTATATTTTAGCCATTTTATTATTTTTATATCATAAAATCATATATTAAGTGTACTCACTTTCAGATTGTTGCATTTGACTTAAAATAAAGTAATATAAAAATAATTATGGTTTTCTTTTTTCCAACTTAAAATATGTGTGGCTTTTATGAATTTACTAAAATAAATTGAAATTGGAAGATATATAAAAGCTGCCTAATTGCCAAGTTAATTTTATTTCATTTAGCTCAAATTATTATTTATTATTTTCTGGTCAAAACCACAAATTTATATATTATGCAGATATGTGCTGAATATTGACAAGTCTTAAGATTGACTTTGACTGTACTAACCTTAGGGGGTTTTGGGATTGACATAATTTACACATGAAATCAGTTTCAGATTCACTCAAAGCTTTTCAAATGAAATCATTTGTGAAAATCCACCAAACTTGAATAACATAAGACTTTAGTTAATAATTGTAAGTATAAGAACCAATAACACTAGATTTTAAACTCTTTTAATGAAGATTTTGCAAATATAAGAATCAATAACACTACATTTTAAACTCTTTTAATGAAGATTTTGCAAATATAAGAACCAATAACACTTGATTTGAGTAAAGTATTTAAAATCATTGATTAAATAACATTAGACTTGGGTTAGAGTTAGACTCTATTAAAATCCATTATCCAATAACACCCACTTAGTTTATCTACATGTCTTTTTGAAAATCAGATATTTTTGTCTTTATGTGTTTTTGGATTGTAATGTTATGGAATAATAATAAACTTTTCCTAACCCACAGCTAAATAAAATTAGATAACAAAACAAATACCCACTAAAACTATAATTTAGTTACAAAGAATTTTAGAGGGGGCAAAAAGTCATGAATTAAACTTTTATGGTGTATAACATAGTATAAATGTAGATAATGTATGTGTACATTTCACATAATTGGAGGACAAAATTACAAATGTTTCTTTTTTGTTCTTTTTCATGCACATTTAACAGTTTTTTTTGCATGTGTAGTGTTCATTATATAATCGAGTGAGATCAATTTGTGTGTAATGTTGTTGATACAAATAGGTTAATAGATATCATCACTACGATGAGTAGATGACGAGGGCTATAGAAGATTAGTATTACTACACTTTCAAAATGCAAATGGTCTTCAACTTCGAGAGAGAGTATCACGAGAATGTTGTTGTTCATATTGTTTACGTTCAAAGTCTTTGATATTGCATTTTTCTTTCTTGTCAACCAAAGTATTTGACATTCATTTAAAATTCAATTCAAGTGGTTTAGTTTTAAAAATTATTTCACGTGATCTTTCAAGGGAGATACCCGCACGTCCATATATGCCTATATATAGTAAGTTCATTAGCCACACGTACGTACTCATCCTCAAACAAGACCAAGAAGTAGTACAACTCAAAAGCAAACTATACATTTTACTACTTTCTAGTTTCATATGGGTTCAATGGAGGCTTTAGCAATGGCAGGAGTGGATTATCAAGAATGGGGACTTAGTATTGATGAATGGGAGCTTCAAGAATCTTTAGTACCGCCCCATTTGCTTGCTGATGATTCTGACGAAGAAGAAGAAGAAGAAGATCATCGTCGATACAACGATGATTCTGAAGTAGAAGATCATCTTCGAGATGACGATGATGATAGAGTTTTAGATGGCTTGGCAGTTAAACAAGTTGTCCCTTGTGACATTAGAGCTTCGGTTGAGAAATTGATTGAGAAATCTGTCTCATCTATGATTGTTCCCTTCAAACAGCTTAAGTTCTTAACACTTCTTGTTGAGAACTTTTTATTTAATTCAGCCATGTTCTTTATTTTCTTTTGTAACATATCGTTTTAAGAGGTCTCTTTTTTTTTGGTCGACTATTTTTTAAAGGTTTTGTTTTCTTACAAGATTGAGTTATAGTGTACTAGTGACAAAAAGTGTATTAATTATAAGTACTTGTATTTAGTTTTGATAAGTTGAGTAGATTCAAGCTAAGTAAACCTAACTTATAAATCTTCTTTGACATTCTTTTTCTGTATATATATATTGTGAAAGCTCAAACTCAATACCAAAACAAAAGAAAACAAAATATCAATTCTGAAATGTCTTTCGATATATATGTATATATATATATATATATTGTGATAGAATAGTGATTCCCAAAACAGAAAGGTTTCCGAAACTATACAAAAAAAAATCAAACCAAAATCAATATAAGCCTTTGTTATATCGTTTTAACATATGTCGCACATTTTCTTTTATAATTATACCATTCTTTTCTAAGCAAAATATATCTAAGAACGAAATTTAAATTAATATGGAAAGAACATTGAACTCTGTTGAGGGTTTTGTTACCGGTGGTAGCTAGCTCCCCTCTCCTTTTGAGAACTCTGTTTGTATTTCAATCCTTTGGTTTAGTTCAAGGCATGTTCTTTGTTGTTACTCCCTGTTGTTCTGCTTTTGTTTGAAAATTGCGTTGCTTTGCGTTCTCGCCTCTTGCTTGCGTCTTCTTGTGCTGTAGAGGAGCTAGTAGGGCTAATGGCTTTTGGTGTGGTTGTAAAATGTGTTATTTTGCTCTGCTGACTTTGGGGAATGAACTTGGTAGAGGGAGCTTGCACCACTTGCTTAACTTGGCTTGTGAGGTTCCGTTTCTGAGAAAGCTCATGGATCGAAACAAAGAATTAATCTCACATGATGCAGAGAGAGTATGTGATCGATGATTTGGAGTTCTCACCGTTGACGGCTCGATCTCGGACCTCCTGCGAAAGGCTTCTACAGCAAATTTTTGTCGTATCAAGGTGTTTACAATTTGCAATTGCCCTTCTTCTTCTGCAACTCATCTGGGGAGGACAACAAAAAACGTCATCGCTTCATCTTGTTACCATAGCTTCATTGCTTGGTTAAGCAAATGGACCGAAATCTTGGTTTAATTACCGTCTTATGCTTGCATGTTTTTATTTTTTTTTTGCCATGGAACCATGTGTATAGGTTTCTAATCTTTTGATTGTAACCTAAACTATTTTCATTTTCAATGAAATATTTACCATTTAGCAAAAAAAAAAAAAAAAAAACATTGAACTTTCCTAAAATTGCAAGTATTTGGATGGATATGTTCTGAATCATATAGAATGGTACATACGTACGTGTGTAATATGCCTCCACGTTTAATTATTTCTGTTAATAGCACAAAAGGGGAAAGTCTCGTTGTCACGTTCCATCTTTCAAATGAAAGGAAAAGAAGAAAAAAAAACTTTGTATTATCTTTGAAAAAAATTCACGAGCATCTCGAACACACACCATGACGTTTGCATCAATGCGTAATATCTTACGCATATGAATTGGTGCCACTATACACTTGAAATCTCGTGTTTCCCACATATCGTTTTCTGATCGGATTCAAATTCATCATCTAGGACGATAGATCAATCTTTGACTTCAATTAATATATCTGTGATACAAGAGACTATATAAAAGTTACTCATCAAGTTGTATTCAATGTAAGCAAGTAATATCCCTACTATAGTAAAAGAGAAGTACACAAGGGATTTGAGTCGGTTTTTTTAAAGAATTCCGGGTTAAATTTTCAATCGGATACTTACCATTATTGCACTAAGAAAAAGACAGCTTATTTTAAGTAATTATGGTAAAATTTATCTAAAATAGATCTCAATCTTTAGAAAAATATTTAAATATGTAAATTATACCACAATCTTGTGATTTTATTGTTAATCGATTCAAAATTTTATTAAATATCATAACCATAAAATCTTAATAGTTACGATTTAGTTATTTAAATATAGAATATGAATTTTTGAAAAAATTTTAAATAGAATATGCATGATTCAAATAATAAAATTACATATTCGTTAAAAATAGGGTGGTGTATAAAAAATCTAAGTGTGAACATTTATTTACCTAAATATATGAAGATTTTAAAAATATATATATAACCAAAAAAGAGATTGCTATATATAAAAAAAAAACGTATTTACTATTTTAAAATTAAGTGTATATATAGCAAAATCTAACACCATTTTAAAGATGACAAAAAAAACTCTGCTTTACCGACTATATAACACCATTTTAACGCCATTTTAATATAGTTTCTAAATTATTTTTCGAATTTATAAGGAAAAACATTAATACATAAATGTAACCATAGATCCTAATTATTAAAAAAATCCATATACTAATTAATCAATTTTTATTCAACTCTAGGTTATTTTAATACACTTTGCCAAAAATTTGACACCAAATAAACAAAATAATAACAAATACTATATAACACGTTAAATAAAAACCCAAAATCATTCCCCCGCGCTATAGCGCGGATCCGATAATAAACCTATATTAATAATAGCTCGATAACTCTCCGCCACCCTATAGCGCGGGTTCGATAACAAAATTCTGATACACAAAATAACAAAAACCGACACTTTTCCTCCGCGTTGTAGCGCGGGTCCGGACCTAGTATCTCATAAAATAGCTGACAAAAAAAATTTCATTATAGTAAGAGCTTTGTGTAATTGTATTCAATCAACTTCTTCTACATCTATGATTCTATGAATGTGTTGTTGTGTTCTTCCTCGTCGACCATAAAGACCCTTGGCGTCTTGGCTAATCAATTGTTTCTTAATTAACCCAATTTACCCACAAGGCATTTCTAGTTGAAACGAGGCTAGCTAGCTCCATATCAGTTTTAAAGACTGACATTATTTTCCTCGTCAATCAATTTAGGTCTACAATTCTCTCGCCAAGCTATTTTCAAATTTTTGGGGGTTTAAATCTAGGCCCGACCATAGAAAAGCTGAGCTTAACTTTTCGATCTCATTGATGCATGCACTAACTAGTTAGTGAAACTAGTAAGATCACAAAAGAGAGTACTTTGTAGTCTTCCCGCAAATGAAAGAAACCGATTTTTCCAAGAACCAATGCGATCAAAGGCAGCCCCAAGTATATTAATGACAAAGTATGTACCAGTATCAAAGGACATCAGTTGATATATACCGCCATACCGGTCATGAACAATCTTGTTGTTTTCTCCAATATATTGTTGATAGATCGTATTTTTATTTTCATCTGCAAAGACCACTATGTTCTGAATCCTTAGTTATCATCTATATAACAAATTTCTCAAAATCATTCGCCTTTAATTAGTCCATTACTCGAAACTGCCACCAATGCGATCATGTGTCAGACTTTAGTATCCTCTAATCTTTTTTCTTTTTGTAATATAATAACCTTATATTTTCGTTTATTAAAATAGTTTTCAGATCTTGTAGAGCTGCCCTTATGGATGCGGTCAGTACATGAGTCTAAAACTGCATGTTTGAATCTAACTGCCAGCAACTGGTCATGGCTTTACGCACTCGGACAGTTCTCTCGGCTATTCACGACATTTTATCGGATATTTTTATTTGTATTAACCATTTCTCCTCTTTTTTTTTGTCGTTCTATCCCTAGATCAGCTAGTGGTGTAGTGGACTCGCTTGCAAAACATTGCTTTAGTTTGTATGGTCTGAATTTTTAATATAATTTATTTTACGGTGCACAAAAAAAAATAGTTTTCAAATAAATCTAGTTATCAAGAAAACAAAAAGAAACTAATCACGTGCCGTATCTTTGAACTTTGGTAGGTTGGCATTTGGTTGGTACGTAAAAAGACCTCGAATAAGCAACCATCTTATTTAATTTCCCATAATTTAATTAACTAATAATTAAATTTATTTTCTTTGCTTTTATAAACCTCTTTTTGCTGATTGCTCAATGTTTTTAAACGAAAGATATCGTGTTACAGTTTACAATAGTAATATTTGAATATATATATATATATATATATATATGGCAGATCAAAAATTTGTGACAGTGTACGTAGATGGGAACATCACAACAAAAGTTGTTGAAATTACTGAAATTAATATTAATAGACTTTATATTATATAATGTATATCTCAATTAATTCGGCCTACATATTATATATATATCAGATCAGTTGTTGTTTTATTTTTTAGAAGTCCTTTAGACTGATCAAAATTGTGTTTTATATTTTAAGTGATTGATTATCAAACTAGATTAGCAAGGCCGTTTAATTATATTAAGCCAATTCATAACATTCCTATTCGTTTTAATTTTTCTTACTTAAACATACACTCGCCAAGATTTTGCTTTTTAATACTAAACATGCACCACCAAATATTTAGGTATATATGTACGTAAGCATGCACATATGTATCATGTATGATGTATGGACCATGACATTTACTCGATTTTGGGTATTCTTCTACCAATGTATAGACAAGCATATATGCACGCATGAAGTTAGGTTTTTCTAATTGAAACGGTTTAGTATTTTTTTTTTTTTGCTTTTGTTTTTTTTTTTCTTTTTGTGCAAATTTAATTGCTGCAAAAAAAATAAAATAATAATAATTGCTACGGTTTGGTCAACGTAAAACTACCTTTAAAATAAGATAGTAACCCTAACTCACCAATCCTTCCAAAATTTTCATTTTCTCAATAGATATTGTATTAAAAATATATATTGTTTGCAAAAACAAGAAAAAAAAACACTTTATTCATGTATTACCTTGTACATCGATGTGCCCCTGGGATCATATATCGAAAACTAAAAAAAAAAAATAAGTATGATCGATATATATACATGCATGGGTTATTCACTTGCTTTGAAATAGGTTAAGTTGAAAGCTTACCAAATGATTTAAATGATAGAAATCTGAAAGAATATATATGATTAACATTGATAAGATATATATGTCGTTTGAGTTGAAAGATCACCAAAACATGTAACTTTTCTAAAGATTTCTGTTTTTCACTCTGAAAAACATAAATCTTAAGAG